CTAGCCATATATATATATATATATATATATATATATATATATATATATATATATATATTTCCTTACTCCATATTGGTCAGTTCCTAAAGGAATGAATTTATTAGTAAAATACAATTATTAAAATAATAGAAAATAAATATAACCAAAAGTATGAGTTACATTGTCTATAGTTGTATGAGGGTTATGTTTAATATAATAATTCTCCCAATAATCTCCAATGCATTACAGTGAAACAAATGAACTATTTACTTAATTCTATTACATCATTGTATTTTCAATGGTCCGGCCTCAACTTCGGTAAGATGGTCATAAACTTGAATATTTTTATGATTATTTTTTTCTATTAATATTATTGAAATTTTTCGTTGAGATTTTTTCCAATAACTACACAACATGTTGAATTAGTTGCAGAGTATTTTTTAAGAACATTTGACATATTTTACTATAACATTTATTCAAAACCATATGCATAATATTTAATTTACATATTTTATTATTTTATAAAATATGTAACCAAAGTACACAAAAAAAATTAAGAAGTGCCGTAATAAACCCAGTTGTGACCAAAGAAACTTCGATTTACCCTTAAAAGATAAAGAACTTAGCATAAATTAATGATATAATTTTGCCATTTAATTTTAAAAATCAGAAATAAAAAGATGAACATCATCCAGGTAAACCTCTATTTCTTACTTCCAATTCAACAAGGCTCAGGTTTCTTGAGTTCATGTGTCTCCAGCATGAACAAAAACAACAAAGAAAAGTTTATTTATGCTGAGTTTACATTGGTTTTTGAAACAAAACTTCTTATTCTACATAAGATAAAAGTTACTAGATGTCAGTGATGGAGCATGAGACTCATAACTTCATGGTTAAGCAGCTTTCTCATCTAAGCTAATGAATTTCTTTATAATTCCCATCATTTCTCCTCCAGGAAATCGTCCCAGACACCCTCTTGCAGCTGCCACTTCATTTAGCTCATAAACTGAATCACCACTGTAAGCTTCACAACATTTGTCTCTTCCCTCATTTGTGTCCAAATCATGAAGCAAGTCTTCACCAGACTTGACAGTGGGAATGGGAAATGGGTCAAGAGAAGTTTTCAGAACAGTTGATTCTCCAATAGCACCAACAAAGTCTTTCAGTAGACATATGGCGAATGGAACTGATTCAAAACTATGATCACCATATTCTACTGGAGTAGAGTGATCTCCTGTGACACAAAGGTAAAACTGATATTCTCCAGATGATTCTGCTTCCCAGAGAAGCCTTGCCAGCTGCCCCACTGCAGTATCGACAGCTTCTAATGCTTTGACCTTGAGCATGCTCGCCTTGTCGTGGCCAGCATCATCTATTGCCTACAGTACCACACAAAGTCTCATCGCATAATCCAAAAGGGTAGGAGTAAAAATAGTCTAGAACAGTACAAGAATAAGGAGAAATGAAGCAGCAATAGCAAAAGATAGAAGATTTAACTCTGATATTGTATTGCTTAGTATTTGTATTATTTCCAGTTAAATTTTCCTGGATTCAACATCATCTTTTGATTCTTTTAGTCTTCGTTCTTCAATAGTATAGCATGCACTAAACAATATGCATCATATCGTTTACATTAAGCTAGAGATTCAATCAATTAACACTTAATATCTGCATTGCAGAAAAAAGATGGTACAAAGCTCCCCACATATAAAGTGGAATTCTGGAGGAAAATTGCTGAAAAGTAAAAGCAGATAACAAGAACAAAAGTAGTAAATTTATGACCTTGATATGAAGAAATCCAAAGTCATAGCCATCAGAGCGACCTGCTTTAAAGTCATCCTCTCCAGGTACAAACACTTTGGGGCAGGACTGCAAAGGAGCCGAGAGTGCCTTAGCTATTGCCGATGCTTTTGATGTTAGTAAAGTTCGATAGTCCCCAGTTGCTCCAGGAGCATCTAGAATATCAATTCCGAGTGATAAGCCCAGGCCAGCAATTATTTTCGTTGGAGCCACCATGCATGGCCACAGACCATGTTTATCTAAAAATGGTGTAACCTGTGATGTATAATTTGAAGTGATCAAATGCATACATATGGACACACATTAGCATCTATAACCTGGATTGAAGTTGATCATATTACAGTTCCTGCTTATTGTCTCAGACAGGATATAATCAACAGACCAACTGTCATTTAACTTCTTATCCAAGTAATAGTGAAGAATGTTGCAAATTCAAGAAATATAAGACAGTACTGAAATCACAGAAAAATCACTTTTGTGGCTAAACTCAAAAAACATCACAATTGCCTCCTTCATAAAATCAACAATATTTAAAGACTGAAAAGACAGTACTACGAAAATGAATACAAAGGAAACTCAACTGCAAAACATACAAATCTATTGTTATTTATTTTGTTTCTAATAATTGTTTAATGATTGCCGCATGTTTGATGGGCTTTCAATTAAACTGGCAGAATATGTAAACCGCTTTTCTTGTGCATCACTTTAATTCTTGAAAGATAAATGAATCAACCATGAAATTAACTAAAAGAACAGACCTCAATTCGAATGCCACAACCTCTTAAAAGGACTACATTTGCTATGTTCTTCCCTTCTGCAACACGTTTTGCGTTCACGGGATGAGAAACCAGAATTTTTGTTATTTCCTTGGACAATTCATTAACAACAGCAGCAGTATTCCTTGCTTCATGAGAATCATCTAAAGCTTCTGCTTTCAAAAGTAAACGGTTGTCCTTTAATGGGTCCGTTCCTGATATATTTCCACTCAAATTTGGTCCTTTAACAACTACTCCACATCTATGTTCTGTTGCATACCTAATAGAGGAATAGCCATCACAAATAAAGAACTGTCAATTCTTTTGGTAGATAAGAATCATTGATTTAACTATGCAAAAATCTTGAGTTCCCAAACTAATAAACATTTAGTAGTCAATTTTTCTTGAAATTTTTAAATTTTGGAAGAAAACTTCAAGACAATTAAAATAGAGCGCAACAATCAATCCTTGAAAACTTGATATTATTCATGATAAGTGGTAACCTACATTAACAATTAACCATTGAATGCTATAGCAACCTTAGGCATCTTCACCTGACTCTGACTTCATAGTGAGGGAAAGATGGAAGCTTCAATCCATCCAGGGCAGCACAAAGTATGGGGCCTTCTTCTTCAAAGTGCCTGTCAGCTCTCCTACTGGTGACTATTCCAGTTTTCTCATCAAGAGTAGCAAAGTTTGACTGCAGGAAAATGTTTTATGAGTGATTAACAGGAACAATGCAAAACAAACTCACTTTTAGACAAGGTTAATAATTAACAACTTCAACATTAAACAGAAAGAAAGCACAATCTATTTAACAAATTTATCAGTAATTTTAGAAACTTGATGAGAATACTGATGCCAACCAACTTTGTTTGGTAAAGCATTTCGATAGAGCTGCAAAAGTTCAGACTTAAACTCTCTCCTACATTAACTTTGAAAAGACATGAAGTACCACCGTGTACCAAAAGTACTACAGATTTTGATCTAGCATGTCAGTACGAAAAGTTAGGCTTCCTATATTTTCAAAGAATTTAGAGGACCGCACGCACCATTATATTCCAAAAGAAACAATGATTAACTTTTTAATTAAAAAAGAAACCACAACATCTAACCATCTCATACATAAATCACTGAGAAATAGAGATTAGACAGAAAACCCAAATTGAATGAAGAAATGAGAATGGTGATTGAATGCAAAATTATTCGCCAAAAGTAACTATCTTTAAGTTCTCCCTAATTTGAGATCAACTGAAAGGGCTAATAATCTTCCTGCAGAAATCTCAAATACTTTATCCTTTTTCTTTTGCTACAACAGAGAGCAGTCAACATATACATGGTTTAAATCTTAGAACTAAATATGGAATCCTTTACAGAATTTATCAAATGAGAAGTTGTTCTGAAGTCATCGCATCCAGGAAAGCAAGGACAGAAGACAAAACATTGCTAGGGCACCTAACAGTGTTACTATCTGTGCTAACCATGACAAAAAATAAGCAAAGAACTCTTCAATAATATGCTAAAATTTGAGAAAAATATCTAATCAGGTTTAATCTCAAAATTTGCATCAATCTTTCAACGCAATCCGCTATCTAAATCATGCAGGAAGGTTATAGTTTCTGTGGTATGAAATAATGTATAATAGCTTGAAACAAAAATAAGCTTAGAAAATTGTGAAAATAGGGTTCTTAACCAACCTTAAATGCAATATCACCAGGTGACATGGCCAATCCTGCCCCCATGGATTCGAATGCTCCTCGACCGCGATAATAAACCCTGGGATCATAACCCAACAAGGAAAGATGAGCAGTGTCACTTCCACAAGCTAAGCCAACCTCAACAGGGTCCATTAGTCCATTAACTCCAGCAGATGCTATGGCATCCAAATTGGGTACTTTTGCTGCCTCAAGAGGAGTCTTCAATCCAAGCCTTGGCAGTGACACATCAGCCAACCCATCAATCAACACAAATGCCACTCTTTTCTTTGGCACCTGTGGAATGCTCATTCTGCTACTATTTTCCTTGCTTTGCTTCCCTAGGATTATAAATAGTAGGGTTAAACAGCAAGTAACAAATCACTCCAATGATGTCTTCCCTGCCAAATCCCTGCCACCATAGTAAGTACCATATACACAAACATTTTATTTTTCAGCAATTTGTCTTCACAACTTTCAAAGGCTCAACTAATAACATTCAACCATAACTCTTTTCTTCCTTTCAAAAGGGGAAAGACAAACTTTATGATCTGCTATAGAAAAAACAGGAATAAAACCAGAGACAAAGAGAAAGAAGAAAGGAAAACCCAGAAACAAAATTGGAACTTTGTTTCAATTTTTTGTTCAGTGTTCAAATGGGAAACTTGGATGCAATCCGAATACGTTTCAAACATTAATAAGTACAATTGCATCGATCTCCCATTTATGAACTTGGCGTGGTGGACATGCAGGGGAATGAAATTGCAATATATGGAAGAACAGAATGGATGATAACATCTAAAAATACAACCTTGAATGCTTGATCAATGAATGCCAGCGATCCAGACAGAAGAGTCAGCAGATGACAGGGGAATAAGATGGAAGATTTAAGAAAACAACGCAATAAACACTTTCAGATGTTCACTTTATGCTTCACACTTTATTCTCAATCAAATCATATTGTAAATGGAAAAGCATTTATTAATCTTAATTTTTTTTAAAAAATCATCTTTTATCAATATTGGAAAAATTGTCCCAACATTATAATAACAAAATAAGTGCTTCAAATGTCAAGCCAGTTTTCATAACAAACTTAATTAATTAGAATATTAGTAATAGAAGTATATAAGCAGATATTTTTTACAAGATATAATATAATGACTACAATGTCATTTTATTGTTTATGTTACTGAAATTTCCATGTTTTAATTTTTTATTTTCTTAAAATTAAAGAAAGAGATAATTTTATCTTTATTAGTTTATTCTTCCATGATTTTATATTAGTGTGGTTAACGTTTTATATTTTAAAATAATTAATCTAATATAACGACATTTAAAATTCCAAAAATAATTTAAACTAATTACACTATTAAATGGAAAAATGGAGCAAAAACATTATACTATGGAATTAAATACATGAATGTTTTTGTTTAGTCTTTATAGTATTTATATTTAACCTTTCTTATGAAGTAAATCCAATCGTCAACTGTTTCTATTAATGCCTTAATGATACAGTGATGAGATCATGATATCTCATGTTAACAATATAAAAAACATATTTTCACACGTAAACTTTTTATATTTATCTAATATATTTTTTTACTTTTTATTTTTTTTCTTAAAATATTTTATTTTTTATTATATGTAAAATGAATGTAAAAGAATAACTGTGATATACTTATCACTCAATATGTTTGACTAAAGATTAAAAAAAATATTTATTAAACAAAATAAAACATTATTTTATTTATAGAAACTAGAATAAAAGAAATTATAAATTTTGTTTAATTAAAAAAAAGGATTAACTTGTAGATGTTTAAAAGAGTTATGTACTAAAATCAACCTAAATAATTAATTGATCTTCTTCTAATATAAGATTTATTTTATTTCTATAGAGAGAGGAGTAAAAATTTTAAATTGTTTGCTTGAGAAATTTTAAAAAATTTATAGTAAATAAATGTCATTTATACATATTTTAGATTTTTTTTATGATTATAAAGTATTTTTATTTTTGAATTTATTTCCCCATAAAGAATTACATATGCATAGTTCAATTTCGACAGTAATTTATATTCAACCTGACTTATTATATGCGCTTTTTAAGTAATTCATTGCCCTGTTTTAATATATTTATTTTCAATATTCAAAATTTATATCAGTGAAGTATGATAGTAAAACCATTTTTTCAACTTAAAGAAAAAATATATTTAATTCATTATTATGAAGGTTTAATAATGATATTAAACATTATCGTAATTGAATAAGATTAAAAAAATTAGTAAATTATATTAATATTAAAATAAATATATCAGTACTTTGTTTTTTTCAAATCAATAGATGGAATCAACGCCATTTTAATGTAACAACTGAATATGTTTAATAGATATGTTATGTTTACTTCACTCGATTAAATACATTAATTTTTGTTTTTCACTTTTGTAAAAAGGTTTGATTTTCTTTTAGTCTCTATAATATTATTCTTTTAGGTTTAGTTTAAAAATTATATTGAATTTCTATAAATTAAATGTTTTATTTATTTATTTTAGATGTCGATGTTGTCGAGTGTTACATTACAACAATAAGTTAATCATTTTAATAATGTGTGATACAATAACATCATTATGAGTTTATTTCCATTAAAGGTAACATCATTATGTTCTTTGTTAATTTATTTTTTGCTGATAAAAAAAAGATCAAAATTTGAAGAAGAAAATGGAACAGAAATTGCAATAACCTGCGTCTTTTTATTGAAAAATGGTTGTCTGTGAACTATATAATATATGATATTCTAAAAACAAAATGTCTTCATTCAAGTGGCTGATACACAAACAATCTTATTTGTTCATCTGAAAAGGGAAAAAAATGCTAAAAGCAAAAGATAGCAAAAGCAAACAAATGCAGAAAATCCAAAAACCAAAATCTGGAAGAGACAAATAGCCACTTGAAGTTGGAGAGATCTCCATTATATTCATTTGTTAGCCCCAGCTGCGTTTTTGGCAGCATCAGCAGCACCTTGTGCCTTTGCCTGCATCTGTTGGCCAGCCTACAACACCATAACACAATTTCATCAAAATTCTACATAGTTTTGAGTTTATTCTATGGAATCTAACACCGTGTTTGGAAAAGCTTTTTTCTTCAATTTCAGTTGTTTGAATAAGAAAATAAGCTGTTTATAAAACAAGTTTTACTAAAGGTTATCTCAAACCTGCTTTTCATCAAACTTATTTTCATATAAAGACTGATTCTGATTATACTCTGTTATAAACAGTCAACAAAACTGAATTGTTCAAACAAATGTTCTAACCCCTTGGCATGATTCTTTGGCAGATTGAGCAGCATTGCTTGCACTGTCCATCATGTTACTTGCCTTCTCCTAAATCATCAACAACATTAATTTTTGTCATGCCACTATAATTGAGAATGTTGTAAGGAAATGAATATATTGAACACATGGTACAAGTGCTAAACTCACCTTAGCTTGTCCCATAACTTGACCAGCTTGATGGCTCATGTCCTGGGATTTGTCCATTTTTTGATTTCCTTGTTCTGAATTCTGATCTTGAAAAAGCCGAAGGTAATTTCACAAGCACTTCTTAATATGAGATGTTATTCATAACTGTGGGGTGCATGTATATATAGTGGCTTAAAGTAACACATGTAATCACATGCACCATTTAGGTGAGCGAAATTTGGGCTCAAGAACAGGCACCTCTGCTTCATTTGCTTTCTGAAATTGACAGTTAAACCAATAATAGAGAGAAACCTATTGGAATGGATCTGTCGTGCTAAAAATAGAAAGCATATAACTGTTGAATGTGAAAAGGTAGTCTTTACGACTGTGATAAAGTGTGAAAGTTTTTTGTTGCTGTTGATTGAACAAATTAATGGAAGTATTAGGTTTTTCTTGTCCTACAATTGTTGTTTGTATGTGTTTTTTTTAGTAACATCATTTTTGTTATGATTTATCATAAGCACATGGATTGACATTAATGATATGATTGTTGTTCTGATTTAAAAAAATATAATTCATGATTTTTTAACATTTTTTTTCTTGTAGTTTAATATATACTCTTCTCAGGTAAAAAATGATTTTTTTTATTGCATTTAAACATAATTAATCATTTTTCAACAAAACTACCTAAATAAAATTGACTGGATTATCGTCTACTGTAATAATAATAATAATAATCAATTATCGCAATAATCTAATTTCAAACACCCCCCAGTTTGAACTTGATATTAGACTTACAAGAAAAAAAAGAACACCTTATTACTTGAACCAACAAAAAATAGTAGCACATATTTCCTTCTGTAACAACTATTAACGAATAAAGATAGATTGAAAGATGGATAAAAAATTATTGTGGACAAAACAAAACACACCCTTTACTTGGGGAATGATCAAATTTTCATTCTTTTTAGTTTTTCATGGCTTCAGAAAATTGTAGTAAAGATGGGTTACTCGAATTAGAAAGATCTCAAACTGGGATTACTGACTAAGAGTGTTCCAAGCAGGAGCTTTGATACATAAGAAGAACTTTTTAACTCTCACTGAAGGCTTTGACTTTAATGCAGGAGCTTTGATACATAAGTTTACAATACAAAGACAACAGCTGCAAGATGAGAGTGAAAGATATAAGGGTCTTATCTAACCTATGAACTGTTGTTTGAATCTTTAGAAGTCCAACCATTTCTGATAATAGACACAAGTTCTTGGGGAGATAATGCCATCTGGTGTACAGAAGTTTATTCGTGGACAAACTCCACATGGAATGGAGGCCATGGCACCTGGTTTTTGTTCCCCTCTAATGCCACCTTTACGTTTGCATCTGTAACAAATTCTGCCAACAGGAACAGATGAAAAAATCCCCTATTCCAGTGCTCTTCACTTCTTCAATCTCATCATCCAAAACCAAAGCTCGCAAAATCTCATCTGTTTGCTGTGCTGTGATTTCTACCGTGAAGACACCACTCTTTCTGCTCCACTCCAAAATTCCATCGTATGTTGCAACTTTCTGCCTGAAAATGCACTTCAAGCACACGTCCTTTACAAGGTTTATGAAATAGGTATCAAGACTCCCTTGAGTATACCAATCGCCACCAGTGATTTCCTTGGAAGGTTCAAACTCGGCTGCCATGTAGTGTTTTCTACCTTTGTTTTGAATGTTAACAACCTCCTTTATCAGATTCTTGGATTGAAGCAACTTTAAGGATTTCTTCACTAAGCTGTCGGGTAGGTTCGTTTCTCGTTTCATGTCCCCTGTCCACATTCCCATGTCTTTCTTGCTATGTATGAGATTATACAGTACACGTTCACCATCTGTCATAGATCCCGACACTAAGGCCAAGTCTTGTTGTCGCTTCCGTTTAAGTGAAGAAGATTCTTGCAATTGACTCATTCCTTGCAAGAGAAAATTAGCATGTACAATTTCAGTAATCATATTACTCAAACAGTTCATTGAAAAATGAAAGTAATTCACATTTTGAAATGAACAATACTTTTCAGAAGATCAAATTGAAAATTATAAAGTTGAATGGATCGTGGTAGATGATCTTATTAAATATTTTAACATAACAGTTAAAGACTCGACATTTGATGAATTGCCTGAGTAAAAGAAAGCACTATAAGGTTAGGTACAATTAAGAGTAAATAAAGCAATTCCCTAAGTGTAAACAGTATTTCTAAATCAAGAAAACCATGAAGCTAAACTATTAATGCAGCACTTCGAAACAGACCATTAGTTTCCAACAATAGTAAAAAGTTAATAAGCACTGCAGGAAATCTATATAAACTTTGTAGCCAAAATAACATCTTAGAATTTGAGTTTCAACCTAACCCCACCCTAAAAACTAGCTCTTGAGGTTCTCACTTATATACATTATTTTCGCATCAAAGATTATGCATCTCAAGCATGAACTGTAGAAGACTACACATTAATATCATAAAATTTGAGTTTGAGCCTAATTCAATCCCATAAGCTAGCCCTTGAAGCGAGGGTTTCCCCTCCTTATACACAATCAACACCATTTTTGTCATATCACCAGTTGTAGTGAGATCTTCAATAGCATCTAACAGAGTTACAACTCCACGCAGCAGAATAAATTCATAATACGGCATCTGTCAAGTAGTTTTGAATTTCCAGGCAATACTGAAAGTGATAGTTGGCTAGAAACCTTTAACCAAAAACACCAATGCCCGTCAATTACGATGAATTGCAAAATGAATGTTTCTCTGCTATAACTTCGAAGCTACAATACGGCTGAACTAATCGCACTCATGATGTATCCCAGAATATGCCTAATCGTGAATCATTACACCTCCTCATTCTTTAGCTACAACATGAAGACCTTATATTGTGAATGAAATAGTCCAACTCCAATTATAATTCAAATAGGGTTAGATGAAGAAAATCCAAGTCCAGTAAAGTGCGGATAGTTCAATGACTCAATTGAGGATGAAAAAAAGAGTCCAGTGATTGACAGTGTTAGGCAGCAAAATCAATTGTTTCCTATTCTAATAAGTATTTAATATAATCTAAGTTAATAATGAAGATAACCCCGGAAATTTAAGGAATTCAGCAAATGAAAAAATTGGGGCTTGCAAGAGCTCAAAGTGCAAGCCCCAATTTTTGTGAAGATTGTTGTGTGAAAGAATAGATTTTAAATTTGATTATCACGTAAGAGGTTATTCCAAGTCATCTAGTAAATGTATTTTTGTTCTATGATTATCTTACGGGGTTGCACTAGAGCTCTAGTAAATGGGCTAACTTGACAGCTCTAGTTGCAAAGAGATAACATGCAGTATGCAACATATCAAGATCTCTATTCTTTCACCAATTCATCTTTCGACCAACAATCATCTAGCTCAAAGTCAAGATATGCAATTCAACAAATTTCATGAGGTAAAACAGAATTACAAGCCAAACAAAGTAGTCCACATATATCTTACGGCAAAGCATTACAAGGTATTCATAGATTAGCTCCCCTACCTCAACTCCAGTAGTTCCAACTCCTCTATAGGATCTAAGGGGTCTCCAAATATCTAGATCTACACTGATTTTGTCCAACCTCCTTGCTTACTTCTTTCTATCTCAGACCAATGTTCTTCCTTTCATTAGCTTCCAAATGAAATTTCCAGAATAGCTTCCAAATGAAATTTCCAGATGGATTAACTTGTCAAAGACCAAAATATCAATAGTAGACACTGCACATAGAAGTTATGAGAAGAGAATATATTCAAAAATATTAAATAAGAAAAGTTTAAGAAAATTGGCATTAGAAATTTTTTTTCACCAAAATCCTAAGGGGCAACTGAGATAATGGTAGGTGTCCATTTTTGTAGCTCTTTTTCACAGTAAAGTTCAATCATTTTAGATCAAAAGAGGGGAAAAGAATAACGGCTTATGCAACACCTAACTTACTGTTTTGGTAAGAAAATGTGCCATGAATCTCATTGCAACCGTGTGGATCCTCATACACCCTCTTCACACTTGGTTTCCTAATATCCATGCACCAAAGTTGCAAATGAAGAATGCTATGCATACAGACAAATTTTTACAGAATTTCCTTCAACAAAAAACAAATAAACCCTTGACCTTTGTCTACGAATACATTGGATAGCATTTTCTGCTATCAAACAAAATCAATATCCAAGAAAACTTTATGGGAACCAGTTAACAATTTCTATTTAAAAGTCACAATTTCTGACACCATTTGTTTGAAAATTCTCAAAACATAATCAACAACTACCACTTTGATGGGAGAGACTATATATCTATATATCTATACATACAATTTTGTTACTAGCTTTGGTAAAAAAAGGGAAAACGAAATTCTCAGAAAAGGAATCTGCAGGGTTCTCCAGAAGTGATATGTATATAATTACAAAATCACACTTTTAACATAACAGCTTTAACTATATTAGTTTAATTTAAATTCAATTAACAATAATATATTACTAGTTAATATAATTTAGCATATAATTAATTTTTAATAATTATATATATATATAATATAACATTAATATATAATTTTAAATTTACAAAGTAATGAAATATTAAAAATAATCACTAAAAATTAAACATGTATTTTAAAAAATTAATAAAATTAATTTTTTAATTTAAATTTATAACTATTTTATTATGTTAAAAATAAAATATATAAAAAATTATTTTAATATTTACCTAATTAAAAAGGTAATAAAATATTATGTTCTAAAAGAATAATTTATCCAAGAAATCTGAAATATCTTAATTTGTTACATACGGTAATAACACACTTGTTCATTATAAAGTGAATTAAAGAGAGAACATAAGTTAACTTAGTAATTGGTAGGAAATAAACAAAATAAAAAAGAGGTTTTATAAGTATTTTTTTTTTCATTTTATTTTTATTCATTCTTTTAAACCAAATACTCTTAGGAGTACGCAAATAATTAATATTTCAGTTTTTGTCGTGAATAAAAGCCTTTTCCTTTTACAGCTCATGACAAAATCTTTTAAATAATATAAATAGACATCAAAATAAACATATAATGTTTATTAAGTTTTTTTATTTACTTTTAAAATTATAATATTTTCTAATCATATGTAGGATCCTTTCAAGAGTTCTTATACATAAAATGTTAAAATTCAAACAACGAGATTTTAATTATAAAAGTCTCATAAAAAATTTATAAGTGATAGTATTTTTAAAAACCATTTATTACATTTCTTTAATTTTCAATTTATTTCTAATCTATTCTCACTTATTTATTTTATTTTCTACACTCCTCTTACCTCTGGCTATGTTTAGAAAAAGAAAACGTATTAACTTTCAGCTATTTCTTCAACTACTTTTTGTTCTGTTAAAAAATTGTTTTTATTTAAGCAAAAAATTAACAAAAGACAATTATATATAATCAATTATTAAAATAAGACAATTTTTACAATTTGCTATTATCACGCAATACTGTATATTGGGTGAGAAGATTGGAGAAGGAGGCATCGAAACGGTGCGTATTAAAAAAGGGTAAAAAAAACTTTGAATTTGATTGATTCGGTTCAGTTGCTTAGACTTTCACTGTCAGATCTTCGTCTCTGTCTTCTTTCTTCAATTCATCTACCAAACGCGTTTCTCTTGTTGACTCTGCACCCCTCTATCTCTCTATTCAGGTTCCTTCTTCTTTTCCTTTAAAAATTTTCATTATCATTTTGTATTTTTTGCATTTCAATCATAGATCACTCTCTTTCTCTCGGCGCCTTGTTTGCTCTAAAGCTTACAAATTTGCACTCTGTCATACCTCTTTGCTATTGGGTTGTTCCTGATTTGTGCCACCCCCAATATCTCCTCACTAACTTTTCTTGTTCTCTTTATTTGGGCTTCTTCAACCCTAAGCTATCATATCAAAACGAACCGTTTCTCTTGTTGTCATCTTATTGCCTATGATTGCTTAACGTGCTGCTGATTTAAATCCCTTTTTTATTTTTCAAACCGGTGTTACCAATCCCCATTTTCTTTATCTTATTTGTGTTTGTGTATTTTACTGAAGCAACTTGAAGTTCATGTTGTTCTTTCTTAAACCCCCCACGGAGCATTGTATTAATAAAATAGATAAAATTTGGTATCAACAAATTGGGAGCTTGGATAGGTCGGGAGAGTGAGTGTACAGTTGCCCCCATGATTTAGCAGGCTGTCATCTTTACATCTGAACTGGAATGGATTTTGGCAACTCTTTCGCTTGTTATGTTTTAGTTGGATGATTTATTATTGTCATGAGATGCTGTTTTTTTATTATTATTTTACTTATTTGATTTAGTACATCAAGTGGTTATATATCTCGTACTTTTTAGGTGGCTCTACTTATGTTGTGGGGTTTAACTTCAATCCCCACATTCCCGTTTTTCCTTTCAACTTAGGTACAATCATGGTTTTAAGTTGCGGTTGTGATTGCAGTGTCATGACATTCTTCGAAATTGTGGCCAATGTAACCACAATTGAAGCTGGAGAGTCTAAAAATATTGTTGAAGTGGCTGATATGGCAGCTGTAGTTTTTTTTTTAAATCTCCATAGAACCTACAAAAAAGTTATTTCTAAGTTCTGATTGATTGTATGCTTTTTTATGTGCAGTAAGAATGTATAATAATGTTGGGATGCCACCGGGGGGGCCTCAACTGCATCCTCAACCTCCTACGAGCTCACAACCTAATTTGTTTGGGAATGCATTTAAAGCTGCTGGATCAGGACTCATTCGAGGTGGATTGGGTGCTTATGGAGAAAAAATATTAGGATCAAGTTCTGAGTACGTCCAAAGCAATGTATGTATCGTCCTTTTATCATTCTTTTTATTGAATCATGTAATTTGACATGCTAATTCATGGTTCACAAAATTATATCTGATTTCTTGTTTGTCTCTCATTTTAGCTTTTTGTATGTTTAGTTTCTTTCTTGTTTTGCATCTTCTTCCTTGCATCTAAATTGTGTGTGGAAAACTGCTTTTTCTTAGAAAAAATATATACCTATTGAGGAACGTGTTTCTAAGGTGTTTGGTATATCATTTGAGCAATGCTTATCTGCTGATCAGAAACAATGTTTGCCTGTTGATGATAAAAAACAATTATACCATACAACTTAGCATCTTAATATTTTGCATTTACTTTTTAATCCTTTTAAAGTATATTTAAATGTTGTGCATTTTTGCAATTCACTTTTGAATCTATTTCATATATGGCAAATGCTGTCACTTCAACAATGCTTACATTTAAATTAAGTCAGGTTCCTTTGATTTTGGAGAAAAAACCAATGCAGCTGAGATAATTTTTGTATCTTTAGTTAGCATGTTAGCTTAATTATAGATATTATATGGAGTTGTGGATTCAAAGTATTTTTTTGAAATATTTTTATCTGCTCAACTACAGATAAGCCGGTATTTCTCTGATCCCCAATACTACTTTCAAGTNCCTGTTGATGATAAAAAACAATTATACCATACAACTTAGCATCTTAATATTTTGCATTTACTTTTTAATCCTTTTAAAGTATATTTAAATGTTGTGCATTTTTGCAATTCACTTTTGAATCTATTTCATATATGGCAAATGCTGTCACTTCAACAATGCTTACATTTAAATTAAGTCAGGTTCCTTTGATTTTGGAGAAAAAACCAATGCAGCTGAGATAATTTTTGTATCTTTAGTTAGCATGTTAGCTTAATTATAGATATTACATGGAGTTGTGGATTCAAAGTATTTTTTTGAAATATTTTTATCTGCTCAACTACAGATAAGCCGGTATTTCTCTGATCCCCAATACTACTTTCAAGTGAATGATCACTATGTTAAGAACAAATTAAAGGTTATTTTGTTCCCATTCCTGCACCGGGTAAGCAGCAATAATGTCACCTTTTTTCAAATTTTTCTAGTTGTATTTTCAATTCATTATCTTATTCTATCTTCTCGCTTGCCCTTGTCTCTTTTTCTTGTGTTCAGGGTCATTGGACTAGAATTACTGAACCCGTGGGAGGTAGGCTATCCTATAAACCACCAATCTATGACATAAATGCTCCAGACTTGTACATTCCATTAATGGCATTTGGTACCTACGTTGTTCTTGCCGGCATCTCACTTGGTTTACATGGAAAGTAAGTATAGTATCTCGTTAATCTTAATTGTTGAAATGACTAGATGTATTTTTCTCAAACTCAAATTTAGCCACCAGGTCCCCACTTGAGCTTATTTTTGCCTTTATATATACTATATCACGGTTCTTTAAAAAGGATTTGTGCTTGTTTGTGGTGGTGCCTTGGGAAATACAAAATGGTTACTTACCTTATGCAATAAAAAAAGGATACTGTATATTACCAGAGTTGAACAGTGGCACCTCCCTTTTTGACTAGGTGTAATAATGAGTCTCTTTCCTTAAAGAAATTCAAGTCCAAAAGTTATCTTTATTCTTCTGTTCCAAACTAAAACATATAAAGTGTGATTAGAAATCAGACAAGTAATGATCTTCTATGATATGAAGATTGCTGATTTCATTTTCTTGACTGTTATTTTAATAACTCCATAGACGGATTTTGAAAAGTTTCACTGAAAATTTAGTTTGGTTTATAGTGCTGAATTTGTTCCATGTCCACATGCTTTCTAGTTTGTCATAGTATTTTAAACATGCTGTATTTGTTGTGGGCAGGTTTAGTCCTGAAGCTTTGAACTGGTTATTTATCAAGGGATTGGTTGGCTGGTTTATGCAAACTGGATTGCTTAAAGTTGCTTTACTTTCATTGGGCACTGGGGAAGCACCTCTATTGGACATTATAGCGTAAGCTGGGTACACTTTTACGGGCTTATGTTTGGCTGTTTGTGGAAGAATGATATGGAGTTACTCCTACTACTTTCTGATGCTGTCGACCTGCTTATGTATGGCAGTGTTCTTGGTTAAAACAATGAAGAGAGTCCTTTTCGCTGAAGTCAGGAGTTATGACTCAAGCAAGCACCACTATCTCTTACTCTTCATTGCTTTGGCTCAGTTCCCATTATTCACATGGCTTGGAAACATTACTGTCAATTGGCTAATATAGTGATAGCATTTACACTGTTCTTAAGAGTTAGAAGTCCCTGGTAATTCTTTTGGTTGTTTTGGAGAATTGTAATATAAGGCTCTTTTCTCTCTTTATTGTATGTCAAAGATGCGAAATCGTAGCCGTTCTCCTTCATCAGATGTATT